CTAGATTCCTAAGGCGCCACGAAGGTGTGCTTTTTTTGCATGGCTAGCGGCGAATGGAGTGATCTTGACTGCGGAAATTCTGCGAAAGAGAGAAATTACATTTGTTAGTTGGTGCTACATGTATAAAAGCTCAGGGGAAGAAGTTGTCATCTTTTGTTGCATTACCCTGTGTCCTCGGGTTTGTGGAGGGCAATCCTGAATCTTTTTGGTGTTCAATAGGTGATGCCAAGCACTGTAAAGGAAATGTTATATAGCTGGGCCGGTTTCCGTAGAAGAAGAAAGCAAAAGGCGTAGAAGTTCACACTGTTAGCTCTCACGTGGATAGTTTGGGGGGGAGAGAAATAGGAGAGCTTTTGAGGGGATTGAGTCTCCTTTTTCACATCTTAAGAATAGTCTTTTATCTTTGATCGCTTTTTGGTGCACTCATATAGCCCCTACTTGTATAGAAGATTGGGCGTCATTTGTAGAGAATGATGTTCTGATGTAAATTTTCTTACTTTTTGGTATATTTCTTGTATACGGGAGTTTTCTCCCTTTTGATTAATATAATTTACCTTATCAAAAAAAAAATTGAAGAAAAACATTGAGCCAACAGAGAATAAGTTACCAGAAATAGACAAATTAGCTGCATTAGACATGTTCACTCAGGCGTGCAGTTGAGTTGGGAACCCTATAGAAGACTAAACATTTCTAGATGAATAATCCACAAAACTGCATGTACTCACAACCAGCATATAGCAATGTGAACTAATAAAACAATTGGAAGCAATGACGTTAAATCACATGGTAGAAACTAGAAAGAACATGGCCAAGCATAAACGGATATTAAAAGTGTGAGGAAAATATAGAGATTAAAAGTATTATGGTGAAGCAAAGGGTCTAGTGCTACATGAGTAAGTGCTTATAAGTTGCATAAACTGAAATCACACCTTGTTTACAAGTGTGAAGAAGCTTGCAACCAAATATACTAACTTATGAGCAATAGTCGCATCGCTTCTTTGACTCATGTTTTCTTTCTTCTTCTTTCTTCTTTCTTCTTTCTTCTTTCTTTCTTAATTCTTTTCTTTTTCTTTTTCCGGCAGTAAGCCTCAATTTTCCGGCATCTTTTGCAGCAGTAAGTCCTCTCTTCTTTCTTCTTTCTTCTTTCTTCTTTCTTCCTTCTTTCTTTTCCTTTTCTTTTTCTTTTTCTTTTTCTTTTTCCAGCGGTAAATCTTATTTGTTCTTCTTCTTTCAAACAACTGGTTTGCGGCAAAAATATTCTTTCTTTCTTTTCTTTCACCTATGTTTTCGCTCTTTTCTGCTCTTCTTTCTTCTTTTGTTTCTCTCTTTTAAATTATTTTTTTCAGTATAGTACACAATTAATTGCATATTAACTTCTCTCTATTATTACAATTATAACTAACTGTTATTTTCTCTCTTTAATTACAATTAAGTTCTCTATAAACAGTATATTGAAATATTTGCTTTATATGATTTCATGCTGGGTTTTTTTTGGGCAGACAGCTTAGCTTTCCCCATACCTGCATTTTTCCTTCTTTTTATTCAGTTTTAGAGTAGAATTAATTGCATAATGACTTAATAATTTTTTCCTATGAAGTATGAACAGTATTGAAATGGCGTCATCTGACGGAAATAAAAAATATATATATAGCTTGGAATTATGCTATACAAGGCTCAACAAGATCCACAATTAAATGTGCGCTTTGTGAAAAAACTTACCATGGTGGAATAACTCGTCACAAACAACATTTAGTTGGTGGGTTTAAAAATGTAGTACAATGTCCACTTTGTCCGGTTGATGTTAGGGAGAAAGTAAAAGCATTTGTCGAAAAGAAAAATGTGGCAAGAACCCAAATGAGCTATAAAGCATCTGTGAATCTTCTTGATGATTGAAGATATTGAAATGGGACCTCCACAACCCCCCCCCNTCTTGATGATTGAAGATATTAGAAATCGGGACCTCCACGCAACCCCCCCTACCCCCCCCCCCCCCCACCCACACACACACAAAAAAAAAACTCAAAGAAATCTTTAAATAGTTCTAGTGGATCATCCACGGCGCAAACAGTGACAAAAGGTCCTCTCAATCTTTATTTCTCGGCAAGACAGCAGGAAATGGGAAAGGGTGATTCTGGTTCAGGTTTAGAAGCCAAGAAGATTTTAAGGAATCACATCATAAGTGCTTTTGCAACATGGATGTCCGACGCAGGACTCCCTTTCAATTGTGTTAACTACAAAACTTTTGATAAATTCATTGAGGCCGTAGGACAATATGGCCCACGAATGAAGCCTCCCAGCTATCACGAAGTTAGAGTAACTCATCTAAAAAAAAGTGAAGAAGATAGATAAGATTGTTGAGGAACATAGAATGGAATATAACAAATTTGGATGTTCCATTATGATGGAAAAATGGACAGCATGAAATAGAAAAATGGTCATAAATGTGTTGGTGAATTCTCCAAGAGGTAGTGTTTTTCTTGTAT